CTAATATATGCACTGTTGATAATATAGAAATCTGCATCCTAATCACAAAAGATAACGAAAAGAATAATTAAATATTATAAATCATCTGCTATATGTATACATATTTGTTGTACTCTGTTGTATTAATTACTCATTAATTTAATCGACGATTAAGTACCTACTTTAGCAAATTATGATTATGCATCAGTTCGTTTCAAAATTTAATTCTTAATTACAAATAATTATTGCAGCGATGTTTTATTTTGATTATATATGTATACACACTCTGGTTACAAGAGATATTTACATACACTCACTTTCCTTAACTTTATGAAGTTCTATCTTCATATTACAATTTGTGTAGTGTAATATAAATATTATGTAATTTATTATTGTATAACCGTGCGTATATTTACAAGTATACACATATGTGCAAAACAATTTTGACTAATAAATAATGAATTTAAAATGACATTAGTTTTCTTTCTTTTTTTTTATTATCAACATTATTAGTACAGTGAAACAGCTAATATTATACAATAAAATAGTGCCGTTTTACAGTAGATCGCTGTAAAGCTTTTTTTTTACACGTAGTATAGCGTTTGACTGAATTGATTCGTCCTTTTTTTTCTCAGTTCGACTTATTCCACTTTCATAGGGATATATAAAACTTCAGTTGTTTATCTATTGCTGGATTAAGAGTTGACATCATCTGATTAAATTGGTTCTCCCCAACTATGCCTCTTAATGTAAGTAGCTGAAATATAAATATAATATAAACACACGTATTAAATAATACAATTGTCAACAAAAAGAAGCTTTCATTGTACCTGATTTTGCAACGTATCTTTTAATGACATTGTGGTGACGACATCCGCGCGAACTAGTCGTCTTTTTCGCTGTTCATGTTCATTGCCGTAGTCCTCATGTTCGCCCACGTATTCACTGTTATACTCCTCATCAGGTTGTCCACCAATAGTTAATGACCTAAGAAATTAAATATTTTATCCTGATAACACATCGACTATACAAGGTGAGTTAATAAAAATTTTGTTACATTGTATTGGCTACAACACAGCCTTTCAAAAAATGCACTGATATTGAAGAAACTCAAGATCTCCTCAATATTTTCAAAAATGCAAAATATGAAAAAATATAATGATATCGGCTTACGACCATTGAGGAATAAATTGTTGCCGTTAATAGTTCCTATTAACTCACCCTGTATAATTATCATGTTTAGTATGACCAACTTACTCAATAGCGGATCCAATGCAGTCATATTCTAAATTGTCAAATCTAGATATATCATTAAGGGTCTCGACAATATTCGATATTATTAGTGGAAAATATTCAAGTACACTTGGTGGACTGTTAGCCCCAAGAAGTGAACAAAGTGCAAGAGCTAATAATTTACGTCTCTCTGGCTGGAAGACGACTGGCATTTGAACAACCCATACACGTATAATCTTTCCAATAACTTCCTCTTCGCTCGTTTCGTTCCCGCCTATTTTTCTGGCTAACTCGCTTATTACCTGATTAACGATTTCGTCGTTTACAATTAAATACATTTTAAACCATAACATTAAACATAAAAAAGTGTTGTCGTACCTGTATAAAAATATCTTTATAAAACCACAAAACTCTTGCCACGATTATTAGACATATAGTCATCACTTGTATAGAGTCCTGTTCCTTGCACACGTTTCTATCAAAATTGAATAATTGAATGTAATTAATTTGTTATTATCTTTCTTTGTCTTTCATTTCTATACTTACTCAAATACAGTTACTAAAGCAGGCTTAATTAGTTCTGCACCTTGTCGAGCAGCTGCACACATGAACGTATCGAATACCATGAAAACCATCAATACTCCTTCCGATTTCAAATCACTCATGATTGATCTAAGAGTTTCGACCACGAATCCACCTCTTTGACTTAAAAATTCTTGGGGACTTAATATAGCGTATACTTGAACGATGTGCAAACATAACTCTAAATTTTCCCCGGATTGATCTATGAAAATAATGCACACATATAATATTCTGAACATCGATAATCATTCAAGAAAAACATGACAATATGTTTACCAACCTATTAATGCACATAGATTCTTAGCCAAATCCATTATTTCTGGTGTTGGTGCGGGTGCATTTTCCAATAAAGTTGACCATAATCGCAATCCGTCTTCTAACAAATAAACATGTTCACTCTGATTAACGTCGCAACTGAATGCAACAACACCTATCACCAGCGGTTGTATTATAACACTTTCAGGACCTAACGTCTGTTTTTGATAAAAACATTAAAATATAAGTGAGAACATTAAAAAGAATCGATGAAATAGTTGAAGAACATAAGCCACCTTCTCTAAATGTACAAGTGTTGTGATTATAGCACATCTCAACATATTATGCTGATCAGATTGTTGCCAGAGGATTGGTAGATATGAACTAAGAACCCCAACATATGGGTTTATTTCGCTGCCCACACGTTCGATCATGAATGATAATACGTATAAAACACGCATCTAAAAATAAATAACGTATTATATTCGTGAAACATGATTTTATCAATAATGCATCTTCATACCTTGGTATCCCACTCCGTTACTTCTTTCAACAGAGAAATCAATAATGTACATGCTGGTTCCAAATAAGGAGAGAATTCTTCTGGATTAAATTGAAAGTCGTCTATTATAAGCTTTAAGGCATCGCTAGCTGCCAAACGAACGCCCAAATCTTCTTCTGGACTTAGAACTTCGACCATAAGTTCATACACCATAGGTCTCAGTCCCCTGCTTAGTTTAATACCTGAAATATGAATAAAACATTTCAATCACACGGGGATTTTTATAGGGAAAGTAATTGAAGAGTTTACTTACTCGACCACTGGCCAATAAGCCAGCATACTCGTCTTCTAATAATTCTATAATTATTATTTCGAATCTTCAACTCTTCTTTCAAAGTGGTTGAGAACCATTGATCAAAGTTTACCTAAATCATTAAAATACTTTCAAGAATCATTCAAAATTAACAGATAGTTCCGAAACACATCTGTCTTCGGCATACCTCATCGTACAAGTAAAAAGCAGCCAATCCAACAGCATTATATACTGCGTCTTTTAATAAAATAGCATGTAGATTGTTTGGATCAACCGGTTGATGATGCTTCTGCATTAAATCGACTAAAACTGGTGCCAAAATGTCCCTAAACCGATAGAAAAAATCGGAAAACACAGCTTCCGAACATGGCTAAAAACAGAACATAGATTATAAAATAATTGAATACCTAATAATTAAACGAATGATTTGAATATTTACCCTTAAACTATATTTCGATACTTCTCCAACATCATCAAAAACTGAAATCAATATTGCAAAGAATTAGTAAGAATCCTACATAGATATAATCATATATAAATACGTAATTGAATGCTTACAGAAGTTTTCTGGATCTGTATCCCATAACTCCAAATCAGCTGGAGTTAAGAGGAAATAATGCGTTACAAGTTTCGAACAAATTTCGATTAATGTTTCAGGGGAAAAGTTTTCTTGTATCAATCTGACTAATCGGATACTTTGTGAGCCCTTTCTCCTTCTTGAATCGAAGGGAACTTGGTTTCGCATTATAATGCGTTTTAATAAATTTAAACATTGAATAGTAAATCTCTCAAAAGCTAAATTTTGACCGGCTTCTGTAAAACAGTAAAAAACAGAAAACTTTATGGAGGTTGGTATCAGTTCAATGTGCAAATTCCAATACGTTTCATGGACCCCTATCAACACTTTGATCCAGAGAATTGTAAATTTGTCGCACGCTTCCAATTGTATTCCTCTCGAGATTAAGGTCTTTCCTACAATTACAGATATCATGAAATCAAATTAAATTTTACTCGATTGATCGATCAAAACAGAAATAAAATATACTAACGACACTCGAGGCAGGTTTTCGCACGTTCGAAAACTATTTCTAAGAATAACGTAGCTTCCTGAGGTACTTCAAATGTTTCGAATCCATGTAGAATGAGTTTTCTAAGTATTCTTAATAGAATTAAAGCTTTCTCTAAAGCTTCCTGTATCTGATTTGTGTCTGCTCCATTTGATGCCAGTATGAAAAATGATTCGGTATAAGTGTTCCATAAATTCAAAATAAAACTGAACACATTAACAGTTAGTGCTTGGAAGGATCGTCTGTCCAGTATCAAACATTTAGAAGCTAAACTCTTAATAACATAGTGTAATGTCAACAGTGCCCGATGTTGGGCCAAGGGATTTTGTCCTCTTACAACATCCAATATTGTTGGAATTAATGTACCCCATTCTTTAGGACAATCGTATCTGTACAACATCAATCCATTTAATTGTTTGCTTTGCCGAATGAGGAAGTAACTACTTCGACTAACAAAAATTACCTTGCAATTTTACCAATAAGAGCTGCCAATTGTACAGCTAATTGATTTACAGGTTCGTCAAAATTTGATATTAAACGTTGTCTAAGGAATTCTTTTTCATCCTCTGCGATTGCACTAAAATAAGAATAAAATATTTTATTCGCCTACAGAGAGAATTAAACAGTTGAATGTAATTTGAATAACTAACATTATACTTACTTTGGTGCATTCTTTCTCCAATATCTTTCAACACCATTTTTGAAACACAAAATTGCCATCCATCTAATATTAACAGTCAAGGAATGATTTGAGAATATGTTCTGAAACAGTTATTTTTATTAATTATGTATGTATAACATATCTATATTTATATATATAATATTAGTATATCAAAAAATATTACAGCAAGAAATTACATAATAACAACATTTTTGTTATACATATACAGTTAAACCTCAGTGACTTGGACATTTATAACTCAAAGATTTTAGCTGCTCCCTTAACATTTTAGTTACTGAGGTTCAACCATACATATTCTATGACACGTTCTGTAACATTAATACAGTCACGGATTATGTCACATGCATGTTGTGCACATAGTTACAAATAATGTAATTACTTACAAATAATGTAGAATAGAACCCCCTTTCAGTTTCCCACTGTTCTAACGTTTGTTCAGCAGGTTTCAAAATGTTTGGATCTTGACTACCTGCTTGTTGAAGCACTTCTATCACTGAGGCATCCATATTTCTCTACTAAATAAATTATTTATCATCAAATCATTTAAACAAGTTAATAGAAACTTACGTTCTAATTTTATCCTAAATCCAAACGACTACATATCGTTTGTATCGCTATAAAAACTTCTCTACAATATTAACAAACATGTGTTAAAGACACTAGCTTTTATAAACATGTAACCTTATCACAAAGTTTAAAATAGCGTTTTCACGATACAGCTGCATAGTACAAATACCGCGAAAAATCAAATATTTCCTGTTATGATACTAGTTCTATTAAAGAAACTTCATTTCCCTTGTTCCGGGTGATCAGTCTCTAACCTATAAAGTAATATATTGTACACGTTAAAATATTACCTCTCTTATACCAGGGTTCGTAGAATTATTTTCGATAAACTCCATTTATTACAAATATCAATGTATTAAATCGATACATAACGAAAATTATCGAAGACACACTACATCAAAATGTCACACACGCCCGCAAGTCGGCATTTCAGAACGCTGCCTCCCTTCTCTGCTTTCGATTTCCACAGTAAAATTCACTGGTTACACTAACAGCAATTCTCTCGGCAATGTCGCGCGATTCAAATCCCACAACGCGACATTATGGAGGGCAAAAGTTTCTGATGGACCTGATTAAGTTGGCGGTCTGTCATTGCTATGTGCTGCCATCATAATAAAAAACCATGAAGCATTCCGAAACTTTTGTAATTGTACAATCAGTCACACTCATTTTATAGACAAAATATACATAAATTTTATTATATCTATGTCTATATTTATGTTTCTGAATAATATAACTATATGTTGCATTACTTATAGATTTACATATGAAATAAATATATGTGAACATACATACATATGTGCATGGGACTTACTCCTGCACGTTTTTCTGACTCCCTAATCTGGCGCCAATATCCCCGCCATTTTACTGCGCATCCAATCCGCAGTTGGTCCTGTCTAGGGCAGTGAATCATCAGCCAATCAGAGCAAAGAAAATTATAACAACTCTCGCGAACGAATCAAATTGCGGCCTGGACTGGCGGTGTAGGACTCATTACATATTGTAATATGTTAAGACGTTAATTCAGAGCATTATATTTTTAATCACGTTAAATATTTAATTCTCGCTCGACAAATTTTAAATTGTACCATTATTAAAGCGATGATCAGTTAATATATTCATATTTTTTATTTAAAATTTCATCTGATTTGAAACGGATGTCCGGTGTGCGCACTCTAGCGACCATTTGAATCGACCACTTTCTTTCCGTTCATCTGGCTCTCGGGACTGTTCATAGTTGTCACGATGAAGGTACGAATCCATGAATATTTTGAGCATCGTAGAAAAATTCGAAACAAGTAAACATAAAATTTGCACAATGAAAAGCTGTGTATAATATTTTCTATACATATTTCCGCAATTGTTCCTTTATTTACAGTTTCATGTGTGCATGTTTTTGGCAGGAGATAGTGATTCGAAACATAAGTAGTTTTGTTCAAATATAATAGTTTTATTGAGTCTGATTATTGAATTTGTTAATTGATACAATTAGAAATGTTAACACAGTTTTATATATATATATATATATAAAATTAATCACCATACTATTTGTCAATAATATAATCCTAATGTTCGTTAACTCTAAAAGAAGATCGTTGACGTTATCCTTTGATTTGCAATTTAATGTTTATGTTTATGTTATTTCTCTTTCAGCTGAACGTATCCTTTCCGGCAACAGGATGTCAGAAATTGTTCGAAATTTCCGACGAACATAAGCTGAGAATATTTTTTGAAAAGCGCATGGGTGCTGAAGTTGAAGCTGATGCTTTAGGTGACGAATGGAAAGGCTATGTCGTTCGTATATCTGGTGGCAACGACAAACAAGGTTTTCCTATGAAACAGGGTGTCCTGACTAATGGTAAATTATTGTAATTTTTTTCATTTTGTATTACTGTTGCAATCACTGTGCAATACATTTTTATGTATTATAGTTTAATATCATAATGCTTAGACCTAGTATAAATTTACATAATCATGAACAGGTCGTGTACGTCTACTGCTTTCGAAGGGACAATCCTGCTACAGACCCAGGCGTGACGGTGAACGTAAACGTAAATCCGTTCGTGGGTGCATCGTAGATGCAAACTTATCTGTTCTTGCCTTGGTTATTGTCAAGAAAGGAGAAAAGGTATTAGTTACCATTCGAATAATTATGCATACAATTTATCCATGTAGTTCAAAAAGTATGTAAGAACTTACCTTACGATACTGTCATAAACATGGAAAATCAAATATTCGTTTTTGGATTTGAGTGAGAGTTTAAATTTCTTGCACTTTCCCTCAGTGTACGAACGAAACATTATAAATTTCTAACTTCAAAGAGTATTTTATTTTTATATATTGATCAAACTCTTACAGGAAATCCCAGGTTTGACTGACAACAACGTACCACGTCGTTTAGGACCTAAGAGAGCAAGCAAAATTCGCAAACTCTTCAATTTATCGAAGGAAGACGACGTTCGTCAGTTCGTTGTAAAACGGCCGATTCAAAAAGAAGGCAAAAAGGAACGAGTAAAAGCGCCTAAGATTCAACGTCTTATTACTCCACTTACTTTGCAGGTATATGTTTTTCATGTTTATCTATGTTGAAAATTTGAAAAAATTGTTAATGGTATGATGTATAAAGTAAATAATGCATACCGTTTTTACAGCGTAAACGACATAGACTAGCTCTGAAGAAGAGGCGCTGCTTGGCACGTAAACAGCAAGCAGCTGATTACGCGAAGTTGTTAGCGCAAAGACAAAAAGAAGCAAAAAACAAACGTCAAGAAGAACTGAAACGCAGGCGTAGTGCATCAATGCGCGACTCTAAATCGTCCAGTCAGTCGGCACCCACTGCCCAAAAATAAATGACTGCAGTGTTGTATTTATAATTTAATAAAAGTACTTTCATCTACTTTCATTCGTATTTTTACTACACCAAATTATACTAAAAGTGTTAGTAACCCGTATTTTTACTTCACCAAATTATACTAAAAGTATTAGTAACCCGTAATCGAATTAGCTCTCTGATAAAATTAAGTAGCAGTTTAATATAGGAACAATTCGAACTTCCTAGTTTTTATTGAAACTATCTTTAGTACCTATCTGTTTGTCTAGGGAATTTTAAGAACCACACCTTACATGAAAATGCGCCTTTCTCCAAAAGAAACACACGTGTAACCCTAACCTATTTTCCAAACATTTGAAAGAGGTGGTTGTGATGCAGACGCTTCTGTAATTTATGTTGATAAATTAATTTACAATATTTAGTTGTATAAAACTTCGAACTCATAATTATTATTTCCAAATATAGATACATTACAATAAAGGTAAGTGACATATTCTGGTGTTATTAATTCTTTATTTTTATTTAATTATTTTAGTTACTTTACGCACAATACATATCATTTTAATTAATTTGACGATAAATTAACATATAGAACTTCGATTTTACTCCCTTTTTTTTAGATAAGATGGCGAAATCAAGAGTTACAAATAAACCTCCGCGTAAGGAAGGATTTAATCGTTCTAAACACAGCATGAATCCAGAACGACCTACGGAAGGATTAAAAGGTGTAGCAAAAGTACGATCAAAAGCAACAATTAGAAGACTACAAATGTACCGTAACCAAAAGCCAAAACGTGATCGTACTGGAAAAATAATTAGTCCCGCACCTTTCCAAGGATGGCAACCTTCTGGTACTATGTCTCGCGTAGAACCTTCACAAAGATGGTTTGGCAATTCGAGAGTAATATCACAAAATGCCTTACAAAAATTTCAAGATGAATTAGGGAAAGCTATGAAAGATCCTTATAATGTAGTTATGAAGCCCACGCAATTGCCAGTGACTCTTCTTCAACAGAAGGCTGTAAACGCAAGAGTACACTTGTTAGACACAGAAAGTTTTGAAAGTGTCTTTGGTCCGAAGAAGCTAAGGAAAAAACCAAACTTAACAATATCATCTTACGATGAATTACAAAAATTAGCAGAAGAAAAAGAGGAGACATATAATAAAGAGAAAGACATAAAAGATGTAGATCTAGTACGCCCTGATACTGGTATGAGAGATGCACAAAGAGACTGGGTCATGGCAGCTGGACAAAGTAGAAGAATTTGGAATCAGTTGTACAAGGTCATAGATTCATCTGATGTTATTTTACAAGTTTTAGATGCCAGAGATCCATTAGGAACCAGATCTCCTCCAATAGAAAAATTTCTCAAGGAAGAAAAGCCTCACAAGCATTTAATGTTTATTTTAAACAAGGTAGACCTTGTACCAACATGGGTCACACAAAGATGGGTGGCCATTTTAAGCGCAGAATATCCAACAATAGCATTCCATGCTTCACTGACACACCCATTTGGCAAAGGTTCATTAATAAATCTGTTAAGGCAATTTGCAAAACTACACATAGATAAGAAACAAATTAGTGTAGGTTTCATAGGGTATCCCAATACAGGAAAAAGTTCGATTATAAATACTTTGAGATCAAAGAAAGTATGTAATGTTGCACCAATAGCAGGTGAAACAAAAGTATGGCAATACATTACTCTGATGCGTCGCATTTATTTAATAGACTGTCCAGGTATAGTGTACCCATCAGCAGAAACTGATACAGAAAAAGTTTTAAAGGGTGTAGTGAGAGTTGAACGTATTCAAAACCCTGACGACTATGTTTCAGATGTATTGTCACGTGTAAAGCCAGAATATATACGGAAAACTTATAAAATAGCAGAATGGAGCGATCACATAGACTTTTTGGAGAAATTAGCTTGCAAAAGCGGTAAATTATTGAAAAAGGGTGAACCAAATATTGTCATAGTTTCACGTATGGTTTTGAACGATTGGCAGCGTGGTAAATTACCTTTCTATGTTGCCCCTCCTGGATTTGAAGAACCCTTATCAAAAATAACAACCAGTGATGAATCTCCTACAGAAAATAATGACACTCAAACAGAAAATAATAATGTCGAAGCAACAGAAAATAAAGAAGAAAATGAACAGCCAAAACTTGACCTAGCTGTGATACAAGATTTTAGAAAAATACGAGTTGGTTTGCCGTATTCAAGGGATGATCTTAAAAATGATTTATACGTTATGAATAATGAAGAAGATAGCTCCACTGAATCAAACGAGAATGACAATGATGCAGATGAAAATCAGGAAAAATCTATTATAGAGTTTGAAGATGAAGAAGGAGAACCAAAGAAAGACGAAGGAAGCAATAAGAATTCAGAAGATGAAGGCAGTGAAGAAATGGATAATGATTATTGCGATGGCGAAATTCGTCTTCCTTTAGAGAAAGACACTTTGTTGCAAAGTGCGTATGATATGGTAGAAGATCAGTATGATTCTAGCGACAGTGAGATGTTTAATACGAGAGCTGTATCGGGTAGCGGGGCATTCAAAGTTTTTTCTGTATCTACTAAAACAGAAAAACAAACAGGAACAGAGAAAAAATTAACAAGTAAACAGCGGCGAGCTTTGGAAAGAGCTAACAAACGGAAAAAGATTGGTAGCAACTTTTACGAAGTTAGTAATGTTAAGAATAGAAACAGGAACAGAAGGGTTCCTAAAGTTAAAAGAAAATAATTTATAGATAACTAGGATAGATTAAAAAAATTTTAAATAGTGTAGTGTAGTATTTAATTTTATTCTTCTGGTCTTGAGTCCTTTTTTATCAATATGTTTGTACAAAAGTATGATCTAATAAATCTATTTGTTGAATGTTTAGTAATAAATCAATTTCAAAATGTTTATATGCATTTTACTCAATAAATAAATTTGTAAAAACCAAACGGTATTTGAAAATCTCTTGTGATTCATCTGGTATCCATATGTACTGTCAAATATATGTAGTGCATATTGTACATAGTTCCTCTTTATTACTGCAGAGGTCTATTGTGTTTGACATTCGTTTCACATTGTATATAAAGTATATGTATGTACGTGCGTTTCTGAAACGTTTTAAAAAATGTGCCCACAACGTAATTTTATATTTTTTATCTGACAGTATATTTTTCTATTTAAATAGAATAAAAATATCTGTTAAAATATTTATATAACAGTCTTGGAAAACCGCTGCGAAGGTATTTAAAGAAAGAATATATGCCTAACCTACCGATATAATATAAACGTAAATATGTTTTGAATATGTCAATACGTTATGAAATTATAATAATTGTGTTTTTTAATAACATAACGGTAAAAATATTTTCAGAACTGCAATTAACACATTCAAAATGAGGAGTCGTAGTAATTCTGGTGTTCGCTTGGATTACTATCAACGAATTGTTCATAAAATTATTATGGACCATCAAAATGCAGTCACAGGTCTTTTCCCTGCGAGTCCTGAGAATGATCATGCCTGGGTGCGTGATAATATATATTGTATTCTCGCTGTATGGGGGCTTTCCATGGCATATAAAAAAATAGCTGATGCAGACGAAGATAGGGCAAAAACTTACGAACTGGAACAAAGTTGTGTGAAACTAATGAGAGGTTTATTAATGGCAATGATGCAACAAAAAGAAAAAGTTGAAAAGTTTAAGTCCAGTCAAAATCCACATGATGCTTTGCATGCCAAGTATAGTTCTGTCAATGGGCAAAGTGTTGTTGGCGATACAGAATGGGGGCACCTTCAAATAGATGCCATTTCGCTTTATTTACTTGTTTTAGCGCAAATGACAGCTTCTGGCTTACAAATTGTTTTCAATTTAGATGAGGTAAACAAACATTTATAATACTTATGCACTGTTAGTCAGATGTAAAACACATGTAACATAATTACTAAAAATTTCTGTGATACAACTTTAGGTAGCATTTATTCAGAATTTAGTATTTTATATTGAGTCGGCTTATTGCACTCCTGACTATGGAGTCTGGGAGAGAGGAGATAAAACAAATCATGGCTTACCTGAACTAAATGCTAGCAGTATTGGAATGGCTAAGGCAGCAATGGAAGCAATGAATGAACTAGATTTGTTTGGTGCAAGAGGTGGACCAACTTCAGTAATTCATGTATTAGCTGATGAAGCACAAAAATGTCAAGCAGTTTTACAGTCCATGTTACCACGTGAATCAAACTCAAAAGAATTAGACAGTGGATTGTTACCTATTATAAGTTTTCCAGCATTTGCTGTGGATGAACCTAATCTAATTCAATTAACAAGAGACACTATTACTAGGAAACTGCAAGGTCGTTATGGATGTAAAAGGTTTTTAAGAGATGGATATAAAACTGCAAAAGAGGATCCAAACAGGTGGATAAGACAAATTAAGAAATATTTCATAATTACAATCTCTAATTATACGTTTTTATTCATGAATTTATTGTATTTCTAACAGGCTTTATTATGAACCATGGGAACTGCGTATGTTTGAAAATATAGAATGCGAATGGCCTTTATTCTTTTGTTATTTAATTGTGGATTACTGCTTCCAAGGAAATCAAGAGGCAGTAGAAGAATACACGAAACAGTTAGAAGACATAATGATCAAGGCTGATGATGGAATCAAATTAGTACCTGAATTATACTCTGTAGAAGCTGCAAATGTATCAGCAGAATATGCTGAACCAGGTAGTCAAAAACGAATTGCGTTAGGTAGATGTCCATTTATGTGGGCGCAGTCTCTTTACATTTTAGGAAAATTATTGCAAGAAGTAAGTACACAGATACAAGAAGCCTATATTAATTAATAAAAACTAAATTTGTCTTCTTCGGGAACAGGGTTTCCTAGCTGTGGGAGAATTAGATCCATTGAATAGACGCTTATGTAGCGAAAAAAAACCAGATGTTGTTGTGCAAGTTGTAATACTGGCAGAGGATGCAGAAATTAGAGAAAAAATTGCCCAACACGATATCCATGTTCAAACGATTGCGGAGGTGGCTCCCATAGAAGTGCAACCCGCAAAAGTACTCAGTCATTTGTATACTTACTTAGGTATGCTGAAATTGTAACATTTCTGTATTGTATAATATTTGATTTTCTCTCTTATTCAAATGAAAATCGTTTATCATTAGGCCGCAATAAGAAATTAGGTCTGTCTGGCCGTAAATCAAGAGACGTAGGAATTTTGAGCACCAGTAAATTATATGCACTGAACGATAAAATATTTGCGTTCACGCCACAGGTAAGTATCGTATATACTTATAAAAAACTGTCAGTTCTTCTATACTTTTACTTCTTGTCTTATGTTGCCTCTTGTTCTTGCATCGAACATTAGTTGACAGACATGACCCGCTTCTACATCGCATCGGACTATGAGCTCATGATTGACATATTCAAAGGCGAAATTAATTTCTTGAAGTCTAGCTGGCAGAACATGTTAGGCCGTCCTCTTGTGGTCATGCCCCTCAAGAACATTCATCTAGGTATAGTAATTTAATGTTTAAGAACCATAATTTTTATTTGTGTTACTTCTTCTTGAACGCATGAAAAGCAATCATACTGGAATGTCCGGAATATTAAGCTTACAAAGTAACAGAGATAAAATGTATGGTTTTTAAATATAGATGATTTTTTCTGGAACTCCATTTTTTCCTCTTATTGAAATTATTATGTATATATATATACTTATCTAAAGAACATCTAACATGTCTGCCTGCATGCGTGCATCTGTTTTTCGTTTTTAAATTTTTGCTTAGTGGCTATTTAACGTCTCGGTGTGAATTAAAATCGGCTGATCTTAGTATTTCACTAGCTATTAAATCTCATACCGTGATATACCCAAGTGATCAATATCATTATATTTATCATGAGCGGCATCAATTAATGTTAAAGTATCTATCTCTCAATGGAAATACAATGCAACTGAAACGAAGGGAAGAAAGAAAGAAAAAGCAGTTTTTGAGGAAAGAAATAGTTTCGCTCCCTCAAAATACACAAATCTAACAGTCTGTGAAGTCAGCTTATGTATGCTATGGTGTGCGCGTTTGTTGCATGTCTTAGAACTTTGACGCGGAGGAGTACTACACGACAAACGATGCAGCCCTCCTTGCCAACAATTTTACCACGAATATGGCATTCCTCACCATCAACTGGAAGCAAATGCTCGGCAGACCAACTATAACACTTGTCGCTACTCATAATCATCTAGGTACGCCATAGGCAGGTTTAGATCATCATTCAGGATAATATTTGATCAGAACGTGCTACTGAATTGGATAAAATTATCCCATAAGTAGAACATCCAAGAAATAACATCGAATATTTCCTTCTTTTTTCGTTCTTTCGATACACGAACACAATTCTGTTGTTTTCCATATACATTACGATTTTCAGATCAAGGAAAAATACCGCTGGCAATGATAACTACTATGAAAAAGCTAAAGAGCGGTTACATTAATGGCACCCGAGTTTCATTGGGCAATATGAACGATTTTTTGAGTACTTCCTGCATTACGAATTTAAGTTTCTTAGGAAGTTCTGAAGATGGAAAACCAGATAAATTAAATCCTCAGGTAAAATGAATCGTTGAAAGTATTATTTGATCAAAACACTATAATTTTCTGTTGCATTCAATTAGGTTCAGCAATATCTGGAAGAACATTTGATGCGCGCATTCCCACATCGTACCGGTCTTCTGAACAGACCGGTAATTCGAAGTGCAAAGAATTTAAAACGTAAAATGTCTGTAAAAGGTGCCATAAAGAAAACAAGATCGATTGCCGTGGAACGTGAGTTATGCTTAATGCAATAATACAATAATATCATAAACTATTTAAATTCTTAGAGCTCTGGTTGCATGTTTTATAAAGTGGATGCTAAGTGTTTGTGCAATATATTCCTACAGCTATGATTCCTACCATCCTCCAAGAATGTAAGTGTAATTAACTAATCGTAACTAATTCCCAAAAAGTTAACTTACCAGGAACAGAAATTAACAACAAATTTGAAAATCTGGTTCGTTTCATCATTAAAGTAATTTGAAAAAAAACAAACTATGATTTGTAGCTGAAATTCTTGGAATGGCAGGGGAGGAACGAAGGCCTTCGACTATTTTAAATACCAATCCGTTTATTGAAGTGACAGATACAACATTATCTCCTAATTCCACACAATCAGCTCCCGTAGACCGTACACCATCGCCCACGGATGAAATTTTGTCTTGGACAAATAGTACAAGGCTACACCGACACAGAGGTTTATGTGAAACTCAGTATGCAGACACAGAAGTTGAAGAGTTATTATCTATGCTCAGAGAAACTGAAAGTTTGGAAGAACAAGGAGATATTCTACAGTATCTCGTAAGTTATTATCGCTAAATTATTAAAATCTGAATTGTTTCAGTTCAAATAAATATTAACTCGAACGCTTAGGTGGATTCGCAAGGTCTCTATTTCAATACTGGCATGTTAGAAGAAGGTCATCCAGTTTTAATCAAAGATTTACTGAAAGATCTTTATGAGAAAGCTTGTCAACAAAAAATGTGGGGAATTGTACGTCACACAGCTGGAATGTTAGGAAAGAGGGTCGAGGATTTAGCTAAGGCAGTCACGGATTTATTAGTTCGACAGAAACAAGTTACAGTTGGAATGCCGCCCACCAATGAGCATACTATTGTAGCACCATTACCTGAGAACGAGTTACGAGTATTAATCCATCAGGCATATGGAGACGATGAATCCACTGCTATGTTAACGCAGGAATTACTTGTTTATCTAGCGATGTTTATTAGAACGGAACCGCAATTGTTTCATGAAATGCTCAGGCTTAGAGTAGGTTTAATTATCCAAGTAATGGCTACTGAATTATCCAGAACTCTAATATGTACCGGAGAAGAAGCATCTGAACATCTACTGAATTTATCTCCGTTCGAAATGAAGAATCTTTTGCATCATATTATGAGTGGGAAAGAGTTCGCAATAAGTAGCGGTACGTTTCTTCTTCCACATTATGAGTTTATCAGAAGGATAAATAATTTCAGAAAAATTACTATATGCTTTCAGTTGGCCGAGGTAACTTCTCCGTTATTAGCTGCAAGTCTAGCAGAGTCAGCAAGGTAATAGTTATAAACATTAACAATAGAACTATTTTATACTTCATGATCTCATGGTTGAATTGATCCAGAAATCACAAATTGGGGGTTTCTTGAGCCCTGACCAAACCGATGGCAGTGAAACAGAGCCAGATAGGCAAGGTCAATGGTTACGTCGGCGAAGACTAGACGGAGCATTAAATAGGGTGCCACGAGATTTTTATCCTCGCGTATGGCAAGTTTTGGAACGTGTAAGTATTTGGAAACTTTGCACGAACGATTTTTTAATGTTATAATTATATTAAAACCTTTGTGTTTAATAGTGCCAAGGCTTAGCAATCGAAGGTAGAGTGCTACCTCAAAATCTTACACAGGAAATGACACCCGGGGAACTGAAGTTCGCTTTGGCAGTAGAAACTGTCCTAAATACTATACCTCAACCAGAGTATCGTCAGTTGGTAGTTGAAGCTTTAATGGTATTAACTTTGGTAACTGAATATAACGTGGTTTCGTCACTGGGCGGATTGATTACCGTCGAGCAATTAGTTCATAAAGCTAATGCTATCTTCTTAGATGATCAGGTATGTTTATTGCTATCTAACGTTGCATTCACTAAATTACCTGTATTCGATGTAATTAGATGAAGATTGATGGAGATGCAACTTTATGCTGTGCTAAACCGAAAGACCAACGGGAAACAAATGCAATGGGAAATCTTCTTTGTGGTGGAGCAGCATATGTTTGTCAACACTTTTATGATAGTGCTCCAAGTGGTAGTTTCGGAACAATGACATACATCACGCGGGCCATAGCTTCTTCGTTAAATTGTTTACCAAAGGATGGCGAATTTGAATGTTCAATATCATAGTTATATTTATTTCTTAGAGATAAGAAAAGTTTTAGTTTACATTACATCCAAATGTCTTTTCATAAATGATTTATTAGTTAATCATTATTTAGCTTTTGTGTGAAGTATAAGTTGCCGCGAATGCGAAGAAATTTTGTTGCTAAAACTTGCAAGTTGCTAAAAGTTCCGATATTAACTATCAAATGGAGTTCAGTAAAGATTTTGAAGATTTTCTATACAGAAATCTTTGTAATATGTTAAATATGAAAGGAAAAAGCGATTATTCATTTATGAAGTTTATTTTTCCTATGTAATGACAACATAAATCTTTCACTTGGTTTTGCTAGTTTTGGCAAAAGGATTCAATTTCGTCATCCAAGACGAAGTTCTGCAATAATGATTTAAAATAAAATGATTGAAATTTCAAATAAAACACTGCTACAATATTTACATACCCTTGTGATGGAACATCTACATCTTCTACTTCTTTGATGTTTGCTTCTTTAAGTTTTGCAATTAATTCAGATCTATACTGTATTTTCAAGGGCTTTATCTCCTTTTTCTGCTCTTGCAATTTTAACCATTTGAAACATGCTTCTCTAAATGTTAACCCATACCATTCGATTTCTTCTCGTGTATACTAAAAATGAATAGAAATAAAATACTTATAGTTAGTAATACTTCCAAGAATTCTAATCTATCTTATGCATTATACAGTATTAAACATTAGTTTCTTACCGCAGTTAGATACTCTTTGTAACTATTAAAAATTTCTTCCCTTTTAATAGGGTCATTTGGATACAACGTTTTATCAACTAATGCTAGTAGTATTTGGCGTTTTAATTTAAGTGCAAGTAGTGATTTCAAATCACAGGCTGGAGTCTACAAATTATTAAAATATGTATATATGAAAGAATAATACACGGAAGTGTTTTACAATGATGTTTTACCTTCAGTAAATAATGATCAAAACCGTAATGTTCATGAATTAAATCAATAGTTCGATCAGTGACTACAACCCTCATATATGTATCTAAAACTTCACTGTACACTACAGACTTCTTGAGAAGAGGAAACCAAAAATGAGGAACTCTACGACAACGTCTGCCTTTCCTTAAAAAACCTTGTATTACTGCTTCTCCACCCCAAATACCATGATCCATTTCTTTGGGAGTCAGCAATGGAATTGGTACATTTTGAACTGGTCGTCTATAGATTTATTAAGTTAGAAATCTGAAATAAAAGAGGAAAAAAACAAGATATTTTATGTAACTAAACTACGTACACAACTCCTGTCTCTTCATCTCTGAGATAAGTGCCTTCTTGTTTTACATAATGGACAGCTGTTGGTTGCTGTAATTTCCATTCATGCCAGAATTTTCTATATTCCTTTGGTAATTCTGCACCGATTCCTCTTGACCACCGTGTTACTTTCGGGATGTAATACAACCTCTAAAATTTATCATTCTTATAAATTATTTTGAGACGATACACGATTGTGATTGTGTTATGACTTTACTACACAATAAATCATTGTGTTACAAACGAAATAACTTGTTAAATGAATCACTGATTATACATATTTACTATCATTTTAGGTTAACGGTTTAAATAACTTAAATCGTTCGACATGGTGTGAAATAATTACCTGGGCAAGTTGTTTTTCTGCCATATTTTTTATTAATTTTTTAATGCATTAACAATATTTATGTTAAGGTAAATGTTTTTCTAATAAACAACTGTAAAATTTAACAACTATGTGCATATAACAAAAATTGTGAGTATAACACAATGAAGACAGTGTTTAATCCAGTTTAACCCGTGGCGAACTCCGACACTCTTTGACCACTCTGACGTTATTCAAGATCAAGATTCAATTTCTAGCGCACATGCATAATGCATTTTATAAATTGTACATTGTATCCAAATTAAAAAGAATTGTTTATTGGTCATTGAAATGTAACCAAAATTCAAATTTAGGGTACTATTAGAATTATATAATCCATGGTCAGACAAATACGACCTACATATGTTAGATGTAGAAATGATTTGTGGTCAGACAAATAGGTAGTATAAAAACAGTCAGAGAGGCAGAGTATATTCAAATAATTGCACACCACAATGAAACATCTAATTAAGTTAATTTTTATGTTCTCTTTAAGTTATATATAGAATTTTAATTACTATCTTTCTCTGAATAAATTTTCTAATCTACTTTGTGCTGTATTAGTAAGAGGATTTATTCTTGTATTTTTATTTTATAGATTATATATGTATTTTCTTTTATTTACATGTACGTACGCTGACAAGAGTGCGACAGGTGAACGAACACTTATGCGACCGACTATACGCCGACGAACATAAACAATACGTTTTTATAAAATAATCATCTTATAAATAAGTTTTTCTATTAAAACACTAGAATGTACAGGGAATATAAAATGGTACATCGTTTATATACCAATTATTAGTTTATCACATTTACATAGTAGTATATTTGTTTGAAGTGAAAAAGATTGTCTTTCATAGTATCTTGTATTCTTTAATGTAATAGTCTAACGTGACTAGCAATAAATACAAAAAGAACAATTGTTATTTTTGGGCAAAGTAATACGATTTTTGCTCAGCAAGTAATGTAGAATCAATATAAAATAGTACAAATTAACATTNAGTATATTTGTTTGAAGTGAAAAAGATTGTCTTTCATAGTATCTTGTATTCTTTAATGTAATAGTCTAACGTGACTAGCAATAAATACAAAAAGAACAATTGTTATTTTTGGGCAAAGTAATACGATTTTTGCTCAGCAAGTAATGTAGAATCAATATAAAATAGTACAAATTAACATT